AAAGGAAAAATTGAAATCGCATCATATGACCCCTTTAAGGATATTTAAATTAGTGATGTCAAACGATTAATCACGATAAATCGTATCCAAAATAAAAGTTTTTGTTTACGTAATATATGTGTGTGTACTGTATATTTTTTATGTATATATAAATGCACATACATAGAGTATATATTTTGAAAATATTTACATGCATATACATGTATATATTTATATTCATATAATTTATATTATATATAAATATATTTAATATATAAACATAACATTCTTCTTAAATATATGCATGCATGTGTATTTATATATACATAATAAATATTCACAGTACACACACATATATTATGTAAACAAACTTTTATTTTGGATGCGATTAATCGCGATTAATCGGTTGACAGCACTAATTTAAATATTTTTAAAAAGCAATAAAAACTAGGGTATGATATCAGTATCAGGTTTGGTCAATATTGGATATTTAATTGTGCATGCTAATTTACTCTATTTCTACATTTAGCAAAACACTAATAGTTTAATAATGCTGCTAAGTGTAATTTAATTTCAAAAATCTCAATATCCATTTTGTAAATTATAATAGTGTAATATAATCACTAGCATTTAAAACAAATAATTTTATTTTTTTAGTGATTTATTTTTCATTTATTTAGACAAAATAGTATATTAATTTAATATTTAGAATTGTAATAAAGAAAATAATTATCAGTTTATTGTATCAATAAGAATTTTAATACCAGTGCATCCCCAAACAAAACTGATCACCCAAGAAAACTAGAACTAATTGAATCTAAAATGCTGTATTTTGATTTCAAGAACAGGCTCGATCCTGTAAACGTGGTCATTCCTATGAGGAACATTCAGCTCTAGACAATAATATTTACATTTTCATCATTGCTCTCTCACATACCATCAGTCTGACAATGCTCACCAGAGTCAAGATAGCTTTCAGACACATGAAAACCTTTTGTCCCAAGAGGACATGGAAAAATGTGAAAAAACGCATACTGGTTTACATCTAACTAGGCTCATGTGAGTGATACAATGTAATCAGACAGATAAAGAGAAAGTCAGAGAACGACAGACACACAGAGAGAGAGTGTATCCCTCTCTCTTTAACTACATTAACAATGTTGAGTGCCAAGCATACCCTATGCACGTTGCTCTCTCTCCATCTGCTCAGACGTAATCTGTAGCATATGAGGCACATGTGATTTCACCCACTGGAATCTGATTGCCCAATTCTCTCATTATTAATGGATTCTAAATAAAACACAAAATAGGAGAGGAAATGAAAAATCTCTGTGTACAGTGTTAAGTTAGTTTTTTTTTGTTTTAAGTGAATACTGAAATAGCATCAGAACAGATTAGGAGAAATTTAGCATTACATCACTTGCTCACCAAAAATGAGAGTATGAAGCAATATTATGGATAGAGGACACGTAATCAGTCAGAAGCAACAGTTTGAAGTTAAAAACGTCTCAATAATGGATTTGTGCAGCTCTTCGCTTTACAAGACATTAACTAATGGATTGGAGTTGTGTGGATTATTGTGATATTTTTCTCAGCTGTTTGGACTCTAATTTTAACGGCACCCATTCACTGCAGAGGATCCATTGGTGAGCAGGTGATGTAATGCTTAATTTCTACAAAACTGTTCCGATGAAGAAACAAACTCATCTACATCTTGGATGGCCTGAGAGTGAGTAAATATTCAGCAAATTTTCCTTTAAATGTCTTACACAAAGTTAACTTCAACCAAAGCTTAAAGCTCCTTCCCAGAAGTAAAGTAAAACGAAAATGTACATGAATGAAAGACTGTAATTTAACAGTTTTGCAATACATTTACTATAAAGTATGTAAATTCATTCATAAGGTACTACACTCACAAGCCAGGCTTAAAATGTAACGCTAATAATTTTATACAATATGCAACAGGGGATCTCTGCTCCATCTCTCTATCTATCAAGGTATCCTTGGCCTTAAAAAGCCTGAAGACCTCTGGCCTAAACATAAAAAATGAAAAATGAGCTCTGTAGGCTATGTAATTTCTTAAATAAAAGCATAGTGCTTCGAACGTGCCAGGCATTTCTCATGCGCGAGGCATTTCACGTGCTCCACAATACTCACTCTATGCTCTGACGTTGGGCTGGTCATGTGGAGGTGTGCAGTAATTCGTTTTTGGTGAATCCGCTGGGAAACTTGTGACTTGTAGAAGGGTCATATATATGCCTGAGTCCTCATCCTAACCCTTACCTCACAACTGTTCTTTTTATTAGTTGGCTCTTGGTTATTTCTATGAACGAACACGTTTACAGTTTACAGTGTAGTTTACTACAGTGAAACTACTAATTTTTCATTGACCAGTTGAAAACAGTGAAAATATTTCACAATTCATCCTGACTTGACCCAAACCAAAAAGGGAACCCTTCTCCACTTTTGCCCTTTCACAGGCCATATGAAGGTGAGCCAGGGAGCCAGTGTGGGCCTGAATCTTAAGCAGCTGACCCTAATCCTCTGAACACATATGGAGCAGGGTCATCCATGTACATCTGGCTCCACTGCCGGGTGCCAAGAGCCAAGGACAGCCAGCAAACATGTAGGGCGACAATCAAGGGTGCACTCTGGCCCGACTAGTGCCACACGGGATACGAGGAGCTGTGACAGCCTCTATTACTGTCTTAAAAGATGACTCTGTCCTACAGTCTCACATCCTTCTGCTTGATTAATGTGTTGTCATAGCCTGATGCTACAGAGCATGCTATATTATGCAAATCTGATTTTAATGGACCCGCATTGATAATCGGCGTGAAAATGTGAAAAGAAAGGACATAATTGCATTTCAAAGTGGGCGGAGAGCGAAAGGGAAGTTAAGAGCCACTTAATTGACCAATTGCAGAGAAATATAGTACACAAGAGGAGACCCTCTTCTCTGGAGTAGTTGCAGATGTCCATGAAGATAGGACACACTTCACCTCTCACAGCTACAGTAAATCTACTCTATGCTCCCATCAAACTGTCCTGGCTGTAATTGCCGCTAATTGCTGCCATGGATGTCAGTCCCTCTGTTGGGGGTCTCAAAAATGGGGCGAAAGGATGGCATATATCAACTGTTATAAGCGTGACTGCTCAATGCACCCACAAACAATCTCAGCCACACATCTGTGACACACACACACACACACACACACCGCTCAGCGATTGTGGTCCCAAACCATATGTGACCCCCTTTACTTGGGAGGGTTTCAAGGTTGACAGTCTGTCCTCATTGGGCCCACAAATACAACAAGAACTTGCATTGAGAAAAAGTGTTGTTAATCGGGTTGCCAGAAAATGATTACCTCTTGTTATTATTCCACCCAACGGGGGATTTGCATTGGAGTTTGACTCGATGGGACTTCCTGATGCTCTGTTTTGGTATCGTTCAGTAAGCTGCTCTCATTGCCAGAATGCTCCCCTGCGCTGAGAGCATCGCTGCCTGGGCTGTGGATTATTCTAGATTAGCCGCGCTGGGCATAATCTCTTGCGCAGTCTGTGGAGGTGGCAGACAGAAGGGCAGGGCTAACAAGGTCATAGCTGATATCTCGGCTAGCACACACATAAACAAACACAAACACAAACAGGCACATCAGGCCAGTGAACTGCTGTTGAGAGTTACAAACTGATAATCTAAAAATGAAAGGGTTTCATAAAAGGGCACCCTTCTCTAGATTACTATTATTTTTCCACAATGTACAAATTATCATATATAATTTATGAAACAATTCAAGAAAAAACTAAATATTGAGTAACTTGCATTTATTTGCACGAGTATTTGCAGTTTACTTTTGTTTCACCAATGAAAACAGTCAAACAAATTTAAAGCACAATCAGCTGTAGGGATTCACAGTAGCGGTGTTGATTTCCTGAATGAATATGAATTAAAACATAAATGATTAAATGACTCATTCAAAAAAGATATCTATTGCATTCTTTAATGAATCAGTTTTTGAAACAAATTGGTTGAGTGAATGATCCAGTGACTCACTCATAAAGACATTCATGCTTCATTGCAGTAGATTTGTTGTGTTGTAGAGTTAAAGTTTTGTGGCATTTAAAAGTGATTTGATCGTTTCTATCCCTTAAGAAGCTAAAAAAATACATTAAAACTACCTTGCAATATACGTATATAGATTAACCACCCTCAAGTTTAAATTTAATTTATGCTATAATTAGTTTTTGTGTATTTTATGTATATTATTTGTAAGTAAATATTTTTGTTATTATTATTTTTTAATACATATTTATTTTTTCCTCTTTCAATGTGTTGTTTGGATATATTGTGTTTGTTTGCAATGATAACCCTAGTAAAAAAGTAATATATTTCAAATACATTTATTTCAAGTTCAAATCTATTAACATATTTACTGACATATCGCTCAAGACTCACTGATATAAAAGTTATTTAAACTTTATTTGGAGTACTACTTGTGCACAATGCAAATTTCTTAATATTAAGCCTAAAATGTGTTTTAATATCACTACTGATGAGGATTGTATGATCTTTGAATAATATCGGTCTTTAAATGCAAGACTTGCAATAGTTCCACTTTAGCACAATCAAATATACTTCAGTATACATTTAGTTGGACTTCAGCACTACTTACACACAATTAAAGTGCATTACAAAATTAGTTCTTCCAATAATAGCAGCCATTAAGTATACCAGTTTAGTATGCTAAAAGTACTTACTGTACTGTAGTATACTTAGCATGAAATAAATACATTTCAAATTCATTTTAGTATATTTATTTTTCACTAGGGAATGCCTGCTTGTTATTTGAAGCCCCAAGTAAAAAAATAAAACAAAATTGTTTTGTTGCTAAATCAGTGTTTTTGAATGAATGGAATGAATGAATGATTTAATGACTTACTCATAAAGACAGTCACTTGTCACCACCTACTGGAAATCAATGTAACTAGCAGAAAGAGTCACTTAAAAATCTCCACCACTATGTACATACTGTATATAACAATGCCTTGATATTTTTATTAATATCTACTTCAGTCGTGCATACATGCTTAGGAACATATCCTAAAACTCTTTTACACACAAAGTACACCTATAAGTTCATATTAGAGTGTCGCTCCACATTGCACATATCTGCAGATTTGTTTGAATGTTTTGGTCTCTGCGGCCTTACCTCAGCTGGATCTGTGTATCCATGTGATGTGTGAGTGAATGCACCGTCGGTGTGAATTAAGAGGGGACTGCTGACACTCAGCTGGCTGAGTCCAATAATGGGACCCCTGCTGTGGGGAAGGCCAACACAGGCAGAGGGGAGCCCTGCGTGGAGGTCACGCTCGGCTACACTCACAGTAAGGAGACGTGGCACTGTCGCTCAGAGATATGGAGATATTTCTCCAGACCTCTGTGAAGTCGGTAAGGGTGGCATGCAGTGTTATGACAGGACAGGTTTTGAGATGGGTAATTCTTGGTAAGTGCGCACACAGCAGCTGAGTACACCAGGAGCCTGTCAGTCCCCTAACTCACAGAACATATTTTTTTAAAGCCTGATTTTTTTAAAGTTACCCTTAAGCATGAATTTATACATCAAGCAAATGCTTCATGCAGATTTCTCAAAACTTGGCTCTCTAAAATCTATCTATCTATCTATCTATCTATCTATCTATGCAGAAAATTCAGTAAAAGCTAAATTAAGAAATTAATATTTTTATTCAGCAAGGACACATTAAATTTAGCAAAAGTGGCAGAAAAAGATATTTATGTTTAATGACAGTTATAAATGATTTCTATTCCTCAAAGAATTAAGAAAAAAATGTATAATTATTTCCACAAAAATATTAAGCTTTCAACATTAATATTAAGAAATATTTCTTGAGCTGAAGACACTGAAGACTGGCATAATGGCTGCTGAAAATTCAGCTTTGTCACCACAGAAGTAAATTATATTTTAAAATTTATTAAAATAGAAAATGGACATTTTAAATGGTAAAAATATTTTACAATATTACTGTTTTTACTGTATTTTTGCATAAGAAAACAGTGTATAAATCAGTTTTTTTTTATTTGCATGCTTGAACTCATCTCTATGCAACTACAATACAATAATACATGCTTGGCTAAGAAACATTCACAAGGATTTCACTTCTGAGGCCTTTCTTAAGCTGGGTGAGTTCAACACAGGGTCACTTTAAGCAGCCAGTTATGCCTGATACTGTCATTCAGCATATATCAGCAAACAGGAATATAGTATTCAAACTGTATTAGTGTAAACCCATCAGAGTTGAGGTCTGTGTGATGCTACTTGCATCTGGGATTAAATAAACATTTTAGTATAAAGCTTTTGCTTTAATCCTGCTTAAAAGAGAGGGAGAGAAGGAGAGGTAGGAAGAAGATAGAGAGAATAAATCACATTTTTTTCTTTCTCAGAAGACATTTTTTCAGAATTCAGAAAAAAAGCTAAGTGCTGCAATGAAATTTGTTTTGTCGTTTGTTGGTCTTTTCCACCCACATCCACATTTTGTTATCGTATATGTTATTTTAACAGATAAATTCCTAATTTACATTTCCTGGCAATACTGTATTTTAGTAGCCATGCCAACAAGAGAGAGAGAGAGAGAGACGCAGAGAGAGATGCAGAGAGCACTCTGGGGAGTAGAGCGACTGTGGGGGGACCCTGGATCACTACTCACTCTAGTTTGATTCCTCTGCGCCAACTGTGCCCATTCATGCATGGCATAGTTCCTTGTGGCACTCCACAAATCACCAGAACCTTCATATCTATCAGGGAGAGTCTGCTTCATTGCAGCCTACACTCTGTTACACCTGGTTTGTCTTTCTTTTAGTTTACGCGCTGACTTGCACCATATGTTGCTGATATATACTTATACAAATATATGTTGCATATATATATATATATATATATATATATATATATATATATAAGTATTAATAGTGCTTTACCGGGAAATTATTTCCACAGTTAGACAGTAGATGTCACTAAATTTTAACTAGTTCTCCAGGAACAGGGTCGCACCTGCTACCAGGGCCTGCTGTACACTGAAGGGATCTCATAAGTGTTCAGTACATAAGCAGGATATTTTAATCATTGCTGTTTTTTATGCTAAATGATATTGCATTTTAAAGTTTATAAACTCATGATTAGCCAGTCAGAATTGATTTCCTAGTAGAAACAGATCTCACATGAAGTACACACACAGTGTTTATATTATGTGTGACTGAGGCTTAAACCAAGGCAGATTTATCCAATCCAATCACAGATTCTTATCAGTTTCATCATATTTACTCTGTAAAGTGTCCTTTAAAATGCTTTCAGCTGACAATATGAATCACAATTGATCAAATGCGAATTCTTCATGCACCCATGAATAATTTATCATCAAATGGGTGCTTGATGCTGTTTCTAAATAATTAATTACTCTGAAGAAGGCCAGCATCACACCAGCTATGATGATTAAAAGAAAACAAAATACATCTGAATCAATAGTGGACTGGAAGTGCTTTTAAAAGTTAGATATTGCAAACTTAGTTATGACTGAATGTGCCCCTAATACTAAGTAAGAATCCACTGCTCGCTACATTATAGATGTCTGCTGTAAAGTAACTTTGTTTTACCTCTGAAATTTTTGAAATTGTGCCAGTGACACACAGGAAATCAATTGCAGACAGTGTCTGGCACCTGTGGTACTGTGAGTTATTCCTCTCTAGCTCACACTCTTTGGGAAACAGGTGGGTTTCTATGACAATGTCTTTCGACAGCAGCATATTTTTAGCATGTTAAACCATATCCGTTGATTTAGTGCTCTTTGCAAACTTAAAGGAAAAGAGCAAAAGGGATGATGAAATGCATTATGAGAACCCATTTCACATCTATTATTCCTCTAGTAAACTTCTTCATATAACTGACAAAGAGTTTTATGTGTTTGAAAGTCTCTTATGCTCACCAAAGCTGCATTAATTTGACCAAAATAGAGTAAAAAACAGTATTATACATTTAAAAGACCTGTTTTTAATTTTAATTGATTTAAAAATGTACTTAATACCTACTGAATTTAGTCTTCAGTGTCATATGATCCTTCAGAAATCATTCTACTACGCTGATTTGGTGCTCAAGAAACATATTTTGTTTGAAATAAAGTCACACTAGAAATGTTCTGGTTGCTAGTGGAAGTTAGTGGAATTATATGATGAACTACACCTGCATGAACTTGAAATTTCAGAGTTGATTCTGCATCCATTGTTCATCATATATCTGCCAAAAGGACGTGGGAAAGCAAGGTTAATGAAATCCGCAGTAGACTGAGTAGTCTGCAGTGGCTCAGGCACGTGTGGTTTTGGTCTAGGTCTCGGTAATGAAACGCTGGCCTTGATTCCCCTCTCGCCTGGTCACTGATTCCCTGACCCTCGCTTCTGCACAGCAGCGTTTATATGGACAAAGACCAGGGCCTGGAGAGATTGGACATGTACTTCACCTTTCTTCAATCCCAGTTTCACCCTACTAGACCAGTTCCACTCACCTAGACATTCAACTCAATTTAAGATTAAAAAAGAACTGATGACCAGCACATTGATGCTTTGAACTGACCTTTAAAACTGACCTTTAATATGGCTTTGTAGGTTAACT